GCACCGCACCGGACAAAAACGGTCCGTGTGCCCCGTCCGGCTCCCCCAGCCCGGGCGCTCCCAGCAGTCGGCCCTCGTGGGTGGGCTGGAGCAGGGCACGGGGTCTGGGTCCTTCCGACTCGCTCCTGCAAATGCACACTGGTTCCAGGCTGGTGTGGAAGCTGGCTGCAGGCTGCAGAACCTCCCTGGTGCTCTGTGTTTCCTGCGTGCGTCTTGGCTGTGTCAGGTGCAGATGGGGACTGAAACCAGCCCTGTGCAGTCCTCGGGAGATGGGCTGGAGCAGGGCACGGGGTCTGGGTCCTTCCGACTCGCTCCTGCAAATGCACACTGGTTCCAGGCTGGTGTGGAAGCTGGCTGCAGGCTGCAGAACCTCCCTGGTGCTCTGTGTTTCCTGCGTGCGTCTTGGCTGTGTCAGGTGCAGATGGGGACTGAAACCAGCCCTGTGCAGTCCTCGGGAGATGGGGCTGCGCTTCCGTAGCCCTGTCGTGCCTGTGCGCTCTAAAACGTGCTCTAAAGCCTGCTCTGCCGTGGCACACGTGTGCTGTGGGGCTGCCACCAGCCCTGCACGCAGGGCCTGTCACGCTGTCCCCACAGCTGTGCACCATCATGGGGACAGCGGGAGCCTGCTGGATGGGGAAGGGCTGTTTCTGCCCAGGTTTGGCTGTCTGGTTGGTGGGGTGGGTTGTTTTCCTTCCTGCCTTTTGGGGTGTCACCCTGTCTTCATCTGACTGACTGCTTGCTCCATTGCAGGCAAGACAGCGCTGTTGCACGCCCTGGCCAGCAGCGACGGCGTCCAGATCCACAACACGGAGAGCATCCGTCTCCTGTTGGAAGGAGGTGAGGGAAACCTTCCCTCCGCGTGCACAACCCTTCCAGGCCTGGTGCTGGCTGGTTCTTTGTACAGCGCCGGGCACCGCCCTCTCAACTCTTTTTATGTTCCCACTTGAGCAAGAGTTAAGCCCAGCAGTGCCAGAGCTAGTGCTGTCCTGGCCTCGCTGTCTGCAATGGCAGTCACATTCTCTGTCCCCTCCTCCAGGCGCGGATGTCAGAGCCACCACCAAAGATGGTGACACTGTTTTCACCTACGTCATCTTCCTGCTGGGAGAGACGGTGTGCAGCAACGCCGAGGAGGCGCAGGTGATCAATCGCTTCTGCTTTCGCGTCACACAGCTGCTGCTGGCCCACGGTGCCAACCCCAGCGAGTGCCCAGCCCCCGAGTCCCTCACCCACCTCTGCTTCAAAAGCTTCAAACACCACTTCCCGCTGCTGCGCTTCTTGCTGGAGTCGGGTGCTGCCTACAACTGCTCCCTCCATGGTCCCTCGTGCTGGTCGGGATTCCACATCGTCTTCGAGTGCCTCTGCTCGCACCTCAGCGTCTCTGAAGATGACAGCTTCTCTACAGACCTCATCCAGAAGGGTCAGACTCTGCTGGAGCTCATGATGGCCAGTTCACAAGCTGTCCAGCTGCCCAGCAACTTCGAGGTCAACACCAGCAGCTGTAGGTACCACGGGGAGAAGATCAGGACTCTCTTCTGCTCTCTGAAGCAGCTGGAGCGCTCCCCGCAAGCACTGAAACATCTCTGCAGGGTGTTTATCCGGCAGCGCCTTAAACCATGGCCAGTAGATGTCAAAATCAAGGTCCTACCTCTTCCAGACAGGCTGAAGTGGTACCTCCTCATCGACCATGGTGCTGCTGGGCACGAGGACCTCTGAGCCTGACTGATGCCTCTCCGTCTTTCCCCTCCACGGTCGTGGGTGCCTGCAGCCACCAAATCTCTGCTCTGGGCCAGTTTTCTCCGCAGCAAGAGGTGTTGCCATCCACGCACCCACAGCTTGGCCAGCACTGCCCACGGCGTCCCTCTCTGCTGCATTTTTGGGTGTGCTTTTCTGGGCACGCCGCTGCACGCACGTCTGTGGAGGCCACGTCGCTGTGGGGCACGCTGTGGGGAGGTGGGCAGAGCCCCGTGGCGCCCGGGGGGTGCAGAGAGCCCCTGGGCATTGGGAGCCAGGTGCTGGGGCAGAGGGTGGCTGGTGCAGGTTCTGAGAGGCAGCCTGGTGGGCAGGAGAGTGGGGCGGTTGGGGTGGTGGGACCGGACGGGCAGCCCGGCCCCTCTTCCCAGCCCTGCCGGGTCCGGGGTGGGTGAAGTGGTGCCTTGGGTGAGCGGCGGAGTTGTGAGGTGCCTCAGGGTGCTGGGAGGTGTTCCCTGTGCCAGGAGGGTGCTGGCGCTGGTGTCCTGGTTTCCTGCCTCCAGGCCTGGTGGTGGGAGCAGCTGTGGTGGAAGCAGGTCCGGCATCTCCGTGCAGATGCCTTCCTCGCTCACCCGGGCTTCTGAAACCAGGAGCGTGGCGGGGCTGAGGGGAAGCGGGGCTGGGATTGGTGGCCGGCTGGTCCGCACCCCCTGAGTTCTGCTGGGAGCACCCCATCCTCCTGGCACGGAGGACCATCCACCAAGGACATCTCAGTGGTGCTGGGCTCCAGAACAGACAAACGGGGGTTTCTTGGCTTTGTGGTGTGTTCCCTGTGCAAGGACGAGGGACGGGCAGCTAACTGCTGAGCGCCTTGTGCCTCCCTCCCCGTTCCTTGGCTCTTTCCCAAAAAAAAGCCGTGGTCTCCGGTGCCTCCTTCCCAGGAACAAGAAGCTGAAGCAGGACTGGGGGTTTTCTTTCCAAGCTGCTACTGGAAGCTCCAAACTCAGGCTGCACGTGGAGGTCCTGCGTCCCAGCCGCCTGGCTCCCCCTTCCAGGCATCTGCGTCCTCGTGACGTGCCAAAGACTGGATGCAGAGCTGAGCCCCCTGCATTCTTTGGTTTGTGGGGTTTTTTTTGTTTTTCGTGGGAGACAGGTGCAGAAGAGGATAAAAAGAGGAAAAATCTGCTCTGAGTAGGTACAGTTGGTAGCGGGTGGGTCTGGGATCCACCAGCAGTTTGGCTGCAGAAGGGCTGTCTCCCCTCGCTGCTCTCCTGGCAGCATCTGTGTTTTGCCTTCTCCAACCCCACGGAACTGGAGCTGTGCATCTTGGTGAGCTGAGGTTTAAAAAAAAAAAAATATACAACATGAACAAATACTCCCCTGGTGTTTGGAATGGGAAAGGAGCAATTAAACGACGCCTTTCTGTGGTAGCGACAAGGGGCTTTTTTTCTTCTGCAGGAGAGGTGGGGTGGAGGAAGGGGCTTTGCTGGGAGGGGGGAATCGCGCGTGAGCCCGGCTGGAGGGATGGGCTGCGGCTGGGGGGCCTCTCGCCCAGCTGGCGAGCTGTCATGGCAGCCTTGGCCGCATCGTGCTGCATTAG